ACTATGAGGTATGTTTTACTTCTTCATGTAAACTATGAGGTATGTTTTACTTGTTCATGTAAACTATGAGGTATGTTTTACTTGTTAATGTATACTGTATAAAGAGATATCAGGTAGAACATGAGAGTGTAGCTGTTGAGTGTTTCCCACCTTCACGGTCGGGTATGTTCTCCGGTTCTTCTCGCTGGAGGCCCCTGGGAGCCCCCCGTGGGACGGACCCTCACACTCATAACGGAAACGAAAGCCCCTCTGAGAACAAACACAGTTTTACTTTGAGTTGATGTCTCCTACTTTGCAGCTCAGGCTTGACTTTTATTTTGAAAATACTGTAAGTTTCTTTAGAGGAAGAACATTTCTTTCTGTTATTGATTTGAATCTGTTACAAATAAACATTTCTTTAAATGTCTTTCCTTTGTTGCTCTCATCCCAAATAATGCTGTACTTCTGAACATTATTACAATCTTTCTTTTCATTGTCAGTTTCTAAACTAATTCATGATTATGAGTAGTAGTACTATCGTTCTTATGAACTTTTACCGTATGTTGCATTGGGAACTTGATTCAACTTTTCACATTGTTCTATTATTTTTTTATTTAATTTGAAATGTTCTACTCGTGATTCAAGCATGTTAAACATTTAGTAAACTTTGTTTGCAAAGTGTTTTACACTGTTAGTTGAGTTGCTGAGAGCGGAACATTGGCCGATGTTATTTCTGATTATAGTCATACCTGATTTCTCTCTTCATATTTGATCAATTTCATTACAAGTCAAGTTTATATTTATATCCCTCGTTTATAGTAACGTACAAGTTAAAGTGAACGGCACAACAACAGTGAGTAATTAACAAGAACAAAAGCAACAAAACAACAATAAATATATGTGCACAAAATTAAATCACAGAGAGAATACAACTTATGAGATCAGTTTATAAAAATTAAAAGAAAGTAGTAAAATATTGAAAACCACTTAGGGCAACTAAAAGCCACTGATAATATACTAAATATGAATAATAATAATAATAATAAATTTCTTGAGTTTGGTCTTAAAGGAGGGAACATTTGGTCGAAAGCAAAAGGCCGTTATACGTCTCAAATATTGACGTTGAGTCATTGTATTTGTACATCCACTGATTGCATAAACCTGGTTCTTCTTTTGACAGAACTGATTTGCATACGGACTCAGCGTCCCCAAAGTCACATGACTTTCAGCTGCAGAAATTCCCTGACTTCCTGCAGCCTGTTTGTGCTCATCTACTGAGTCCCATGATGCTTTATGACTGTTGGGAAAACCCTGGATTCAAGGAAGTGACTGTTACAGTAACATGTGGACCAACAGTGAACAGGGGAACCACCACTGAGTCCTGCAGACCAGTATTTATTTATTTACATTGCATTATACTACTTATATCACTGTATAATACTACTGTATGGATACATATTGTTATTATTGTGCTTTTGAATTATCATTTATTTATTAAATATTAGTGCTGGGCAATGATTAAAATGTTTAACTAAATGATGCTTTTTATACATATTACAAACAAAACACTTTAAAAACTAAAAAAATAATTTAAATGAATCTTTTATTTTTTTGGTATTTTGGTCAGACACATATGCAACACTGATTACCGTAATATGTGTGGTATTTGTTATAAATGTATGTTGGTACATAGAGGGTGATAAGAAGCTGTACATGGAGGGACTTAGGACCCAGGGGAATGTAGGTGAAGGAAACAGGAAGAGACGCCACACGAACAGCTGTTCACGACTCGCTGCCCGGTTCTTGTGTTAAAAATGTCCTAATAAACCTAATAAAATAATTGTCGGCGTTAATTAATTAACGCGATAACGCGTTAACTTGCCCAGCACTATTAAATATACTTTATTGTGTAGTGTGCGTATATTATAGTAGTGGGCGACTGTGGCTGAGTGGAGAGCAGGGCCGTCCTTCAATCAGAGGAGTGGCGGTTCGATCCCCGCTAGTCGCATGTCGATGTGTCCTTGAGCGAGATGCTTATCGTAGCTGAGCCTACGGTGTGATAGAATGGATAAAAGTGTCTGCTAAATGACTGCAATGTAATATTAAATAAACTGGTTCTATATTTCTATGTATATTGTGCTCATTAGTCATACTTATATAAAATATACTGTATGGTTGATATTTAAATATTAATATTTGAACTGTTCATTTAAACAGTCTACGGTTTTGTTATTTGAATATTGTATGTATATTTTATTTCATTCATAGAGCTCTTTATCAGTTTATCTTTCCTCTAAATTTCCCCTCAGTTATCAATAAAGTTTCATCTTTTCCTTTATCAAATGCAGACATTGTGTCTTTTAAGAGTTATAAACACATTTTAATCCATAAATGAGGCCTGATGATGGTATCATCAGCATAAATGTGGACGTGGCAGTCCCCAGTTGTAGAATAAATATTATAAATAGCAGGGGGCCTAATGTTGATCCCTGTGGGACACCTTTATGAAAGAAAAGTATTTTTTAATGTCTGAACATTTAACCTGAATTTTACTTGCTTTCTATTTGTTGATTTTAGTGCAGCTGGTCCACAAACTTAGTGTAGAAACTAGAAACTAAATGCCAACAACTCACTAATTAAAGGTACAGACAGGAAGTAAAATGTTGATCTCACCTGTTTGGGCTCCTCGATGATTTGAATGTAAGGACCATGAGCTGAAACACAAAATAAAAGTTTAGTTAATGACTGACGGGTTCTGGACTTAAAAGTCAAAAAGTAGATGAGGGTGTTTCCCTAATTATTTAGTTCTAGAAAGTCTAGTTTACAGTTTCTTGAAATGTCCCCTTTCTCCAGGTATGAATGAGACATAACATCAAAAAGGTTCCAGGTGTCGGGGGATCCCCGTGGCATCGGCGGTTAAGATGCCGACCAAGAACCGTCGCTGGTTCATGTCATTGTTAGATCTGTAATGTCTTGAGTGTCTCTCTGTAGTTAAGACTCAAAAACGACCCCGAGATAAGGTTCTACAAAGACCTGAGGGCTGGACAAAGACTCTGAGAAGTCTTAAAGATGTTCTAGATAGTGAGAACCTCTGTTAGAATAAGTAAGAAGAGGTTTATAGGTACTTCAAGAGTCTACACATTGTAGGTCTAAGGTTCTAGGAGGTTCTGAAATGTCTCAGCACTAGTTGACACAAAAACATTTAGGTTCCACATACTGACGGAACATTCTAGACATTTATCAGCTGCTCACACAAGGTTCTGAAAACTCAAATGTTAGTCGACTACGACTAAAACTACAAATTAGTAGACTAAGCGCTACAAACAAGGTTCTTCAACGTTTACACCAAAGATCCTTCTAAGAACAGTTCCCCTGGTGTGGCTGAGTGGATAGCAGGGCCGTCCTTCAATCAGAGGATCGGTGGTTCAATCCCCGGCTGGGCCCCTCCGCTGGTCGCATGTCGATGTGTCCTTGAGCAAGGCACTTAAATGTAGCTGTGCCTACGGTGTAGAAATGTGATAGAATCTGACTTGTCTGCTAAATGACTGTAATGTAATGAGTGCTCGTCTGTGTTCAATGCTTCTGAAACAGGGTTCTCAAAAAGTTTAACCCGCGTTTCAGGCATAAACAAGAGGTTCTCCAAAGTACAGCGAGAGTTTCTCAGAAACATGCAAATACGAAGAGGTTCTTGGAAATAAAAACAATGTCTAGGTCTCAAGTGTAGAAGGAGGTCAAAGCTCATATTATCTCAAACAAGAGGTTCTAGATTATTCTATTACGAATTCATTGCATGAAGTTTTATGGTACACACTAAGGGTGATTCAAGAGGTTCTATGTAAACATGAATGCCATGGCCCACATACTAACAGGGGTTCTTGAAGAGACTGCATTTCAACAAACTAGACGTTCTAAAAGGTTCACAAAAAAAAGAAAGAGCTTTGATGAGTTTCTAGAACATTGTGAGACTCAGTTAGTTCTGAGCTTCAGGCTGAAGGTTCTGGTGGTTCAAACAAAAGGTCCAGGTTCTAATGTTCCTGCAGGTTTGATACAGCTAACTTCTCTCAGTGTTTTAACAGCTGATGGTGACGATTCTTCAATCTCGGAGTACTTTTACTTTATCAGTGTTTTTTCCAGGTACAAGTGCTGGCCGGATCCCGAGTACCGAGTATTATTCAGAAAACACGATAAACTTCAGCGTTAGCTCTACTTTATGGGCAGCTTTACATACTTAAACATTGGAAATGTGATGAAATGAAACAAATACAACATCAAATATTGTTTAATTTAACAATCAGAATCAACAGAGTTCGTCTGATTTAAATATAATTATGTTTGAGAGCTGACTCATGTATTTGAGGCAGTGAATGAGAACATGAGTGTATATTTGTGCGTACCTGTCTCAGGTATGTAGGGCTCAGTCTTTATGTCCACTGGAGGAATGTAGTCGTACGGCATCAAATTCATCTGCAGCTGAAGAAAAAAAACATATTTTCAACATCTAAAAACTGTAAATGAACATTTATAAACGCACCGTACGGACTATCAAAGAATTAATCAATAATTAATAAATCTGATGTAACGTTCAATGACCTGAATCAACAACCTGAAGACTAAACTTTGAGGACACAGACGTTGTTGATCAAACATGAAAATAATAGTGCTGGGCAAGTTATCGCGTTATTATCACGTTAACGCATTAATTCATTAATGCCGACAATTATTTTATCGCGCATTAACGCAGTTTTTTTTATTATTAAGCGACATTTTTAACACAAGAACCGGCAGCGAGCGGTGAACAGCTGTTTGTGTGAAATCATCTGTAACAATTTCTCCAGAACTTTTCCTTCAGAAAATACAGCACAAAGTATATAATAATAATAATAATATTATATTATAAGATATTATTACAAATAAATGTGACTCAATGTTTTAAACCAGAATAAAACAAAAAGAGCTGAAAACATACAAATAAAAGAGAGAAGAGTGATTCTGATAAAAACAAACATAAAGTCTCTATTATTATATAACATTATGATGTATTATGATAAGAGATATATATATATATATATATATATATATATATATCTCATATATATATATATCTCTTATCATCCACCAGTAAGAATGTTTGAGGAGAGAAAAGACTCACGTCGTTGTCGTAGACGTTGATGAACTGAGCTTCAGTCATCCTGCAGCACAAACAAACAGTCTTATTGTGAAAGGGTTGAAACAGGAAACACTTCAGATCCCCTCATATGAAGAGTAAAAGTCACGATGATACAAACAAACGACAAGAACGAGAGAAGAAATGAATCTGTTTCACTTTCACATGACGGAGTCTCTCTCTCTCTCTCTCTCTCTCTCTCTCTC